GTGTGTGTGTGTGTGCAGAGTTTTTTTCTCTCTCTGACAACCACGGAGAAGAAACAGCTGGAAGGATGAACGTCTTTCCATGTGGTCAGGAAACTAAGGCCAGACCATGTAACCCCTGAGAGGGAGAGTGATCAGCTATTTCCCCGCTGTTCATGGCTGCACCTTCCCAGCGGATACATACGCAGAAAAGAGGTGTAATCTTAAGCTTGAAAAAGGCAAGATTTATGAGTGCGACCCAAAGGATGCACGCAGCAGGGCGAAGTGTGCGTGGAAACACAGAGTCGAAGAACTGAAGAAAAAGGGCACCGCTTCAAGGTAAAAGAGAAAATGAAAGTCATTCAGTGCAGAGAGGATAGGGAAGATAAATAGTGTGGAGAATACAGAAAACTACACAGGGCAGAGTGGTAAAAGGAAAATGTGAAGAAAATAAGGAGCTTTTTTTGAAGAAAAAGAACTAATATATTTGAGGGCATGGCATGAGCACAACATCAGCAGACCGTCTTCAGTCCTCCATTTGTGCCTAAACATGATGCTTTTTCAGACTGCAGGGTGTGTAAGTAACCTGTATTTTATGAAAGACTCAGAGTTACTGTAATTCAGCATGTAAAACACCAAGGAATAAAACAGTCACCCACAACCAAACTCCAGACAAAGTTAGTTGCTGGTTTCCTCAAATGTATGATGTAGCCTACAACTTCTCATCATAGTCCTAGGAGAAAGAGTATGGGTCTGTTTCCCAAAAGGTTAAGATCTTCATTTAAAATGAAGAGCAAGACACAGAGGAAGGGCTGGTGATTGGGTCCACTGTTTGGCAGTTTATTTAAGAAGAAGCTGTAGGGGTATGTGAATGTACAGGCCTGTGATCATGTTTGTTTGAAACAGGGCTAATGACATGAGCTCACTCCATGAGAAGAAGAGGTAGCTGAAGAGAGGAGGGAGGGGCTCGGGGTTAAAGGGGAAAATTCTCGTCTTCTGAAACTGTAAAAACCATTAAATTCTGTACATATATGAACACCGTGCCACTTTGCCTGGAGCAGTCAAAACAGCATACAGATAAATAATTTTCTTCTTAAAAGAATTTTCAAAAGCCTGCGTTAATCTTATGATGCAACCAAATGTTGTTTGTGATAATACAGCAGTGCTGCGAAATGGTTACACTGTTGCAGAATGGAAAAATTTCCACTCCAAGTCATGACATCAGCAGAAAGTAAACCGAGCTTTCCATCACCTTCGAAGTCATGAGGTTCATAGGAGATAACGGAGAACAAAGGGTAAAGGTCAAATACCAACGCCCTGCTTTCACCTTGTGAGGATTCAAAGAGTGTCGTATGACACACATTCAAAGGAAATCCATATGCTTTCAGGGTCCTCAAATCTCTCAGAGTACCACATTGCTCAGCCAGGTGTCACACAAGCAGGAAACTAAGCTATCTTGTGCTGGGATCAAAGCAGCTGTGACACCGTACACCAGATCACTCAAATGTGACTTAAAAAGCATTAAACTGAAAAAGAATGTGTGACAAATGTGTGATAACTGGGGTTGAGGGAACAGCCACGTGGCCCTCTTACCTCTACCATCGTTTACTCAGTCCCGATGGCCCAGAGAGCAGCTATCTTTAAACTCAACCTTTAATGTCAGCTGCACACCTGTACAGTTTCATGACTGCATCTGGCACGACTGCAAAGCCGTCGAGTTCAGAAAGGACAAACACCTGCTGAAGTACTCAAAACCTTCGTGGTAGTTCCTGTTAAAGGAACCGAGGCTCCGGGATCACATTTTGCAATGATCACTGCATAGACTGAGAGAAACATGGGGTGAAAACCATATCGTAGATGAGAAGTCGTTAAAAAATATTAATGAATAATCTCCACTTGTAAGATAAGGGCAAGTTAAAGTAGACTGTTAAGATGTCATTTCAAGCTTGGGCTGACGTACAGATCGAGATCTGTGGTTTTTATGTTTCCACAAAGGGAACACATATTTCCAGCGTTAAGGAGTGAATTTCCTCTCGCTAAGTGGGTGGAAGTGGTGAGGAGGGCATTAAAGCAAAACAGTTGATCTAGACTTGATGTTTTAACAGTTTTATACAGACACAAGGCAGGAGATTGCGCATAAGTTTGCTTATAAATACACTGTGATACTGTAGCAGCAGTCCTTCAACACAGGTAAACATGGAGTTCGAGGAATTTAAACAATTTTTCAAGGGACTAAAGATGAAGAGACTAAACAGCAACAGATTTAGCGATGAAGGGACTCAGCAGAGTTTCCAGAGAAACTGTATTAATTCTCAGTGAAAACAGGACAAAATAAAACACTTTATCATGTACAAAAATATGTCATTGTGTCCTGAGATGGATCCCTGTTGGAAATCGAGAGAGGGGCAGGCCTAAGACCACATGATGGAGGACATCATGTGGTCTTAGGCAGAGTTGGAGGAGATGCTTCAAGTGGGGAAAACTTATTACAGACATATGTCGCATTGAGGACAATGTGATCTAGACTAGATGAATGGAAACTATCTAATGCCAATGGGAAAAAAGCTTATTTATAACCAGCCATTAACAAATATTCAAACCAGCACATTTGAAAAATAGATGAATAGTATAATATAGTTCTTATATATTATATAAATAAGAAGTATACTACTGTATGTTATATACTTTTCATTCCTGGAACTAATTTCTTAAGGCTAGCCTTTAATTGTCTTGCTGTAATTGTAATTTATTCTGATTTCAATTTATCAGAAAAGTTTGCTGTTGACATAAGGTGGTAGAAAAAAAATCAAATTGCATCAAACTATGCAAAACCGTCCTTTTTTCAGCCTCGGTGTGCCCCCTTGTTTACCATCTGATGACTGCAGAGAGATATGAGAAGATATATGGTACATATTTAGAAAGAATGAGAGAGAGAGAAAGAGATGGAAAAAGAGAGGCAGCGTTCCCACCCTCTCTCCCTCCACACTCATTCTCTCCATCTCTCTGTCATAGTTATCTTTGAGAGATTAGACTGGAGACAGTGACAGAAAAGAGAGGGGGAGCTAAAAGCGGGATACGTGTCGCCACACATGCTCTCTCTGCCTTCCTCATCACCTCCCTCATTCTCCGTCTCCTTAAGCCACGCTCGAGCGCGTCTCAGCTCCAAACTGTCTTCTTTAAATTTAGCCTTTATCTTCCATTTGTTTCTTCCTACTCGTCTTTGTCTCTCTGTTTTCTCTGCTCTCTCATTCTCTTCCACTGTCGCTCTAACTCTCGCTCCCTGTCTGAGCTTAGTGTTCAGACAGTGGAATATATGGTGCCTAAATATACTTCCCCGCTATCGCTTCATCTAAACAAACTCCAACGGGGAGAGAGAAAGAGAGAGGGAGTGGGACAGGAAGAGAGGAGGCTGGGTGTGCACAGAGGGGATGAGGCCTGAAAAAAGGAAATATTCAAGTAAAACAACACCTGCACGTGCAGCGCTTACAAATCTATAGAATCGCTGCTAACCAGAGCCGAGCGTGTAGCAGGAAATTAGTCAGGGCCCATCGCTTGCGTGGCTTATAACCACGGTGGCAGCTTTACTGTTTAAACGTACACTTCTAAACCCGAGGCCGCGCCACTCCGAAGAACAAACATAACAGAGCTCGTCATCTTGGAGGCGAAAACGTTCACAAGCTGACTGCACCGCGTAACATAAATACTGACTGGAAATGTATGCAGTGCTACAGATGAGAGCAGCTGGAGAAAAATGACATGCAGCAGTCAGTGTTCAAACACACTCAAGCACTCCATCGCAGCCTCCAGCGTGTTGATAGGAAGCCAGATATGAAAATCTGGGTTGTGGCCAATGGGACCGGACTGAAGTAAACAATGTGATAGAGTTTACTTAGCGGAGTGGGAAAGGATCATCTCCGGTGCTGATCGAGTGTGACGTCACCTGGCTAGAGCATCTGCCCCCCACAGCACAGCAGCATAGTGCAGCCAAAGCGTGGACTTTGGTGAGTGTTTTTGACTATTTTCCCATAAACTCCCCCCTACCAGAGGTTGCCCTTTTGCCCCCCATCCAGCCCTCTCCTCTTCTCAGCGGACCTCAAGGACACATCAGTTTAAAACAACCCAAAGTGAAGCAGAGGGCAAGGACGCACAGCAGCTCAATTCAGGATGCAGCGATATCTCTCCCCCCCCCCAATCCCGTTTCACAAACGCACAGAAACCTGGTAGTGGGTAAAAGGAAAGCTCCCGTGTGTTTATGCAGACAGTTTGACTCCAGCTGATGCCCCGCCGATGACTTCTGGTGCAAACACACAGAATTAATCTGTAGATCCGCCTCAAACTTCCCGAAGTCTGACTGAAATCTTAAACAGCCTTCATGGCTGACATGTTGTATTCCCCTGGGAAACACAAGGCATTCAGCTGAAACACACCGGCCTCTGACCTTTCCCTCAGGTAATGGGAAAAAATGATCTGAAGCCATCTATGGGCTTATTTTTTCTGGCTGCAAGTACAAGTAAGTATGCAAGTATGAGTGTTACAAATAACAGACAAAAACTCATAATTATCTTTTTAAACTATGCTCAGACAGTACGCTTTACTGTGTTACTTTTTCATTTCACACCGATTTAGGGTTTTTCCAACACTGCAATAGGTTCACTGAGGAGGATTTTTATCCATGCCCACCCGCTCCTGTCTGCGTGCCTTTCAAGAGGTTTATTGTTTCAAGAGAAAGGCAGAGCAAAAGCACTAAATTCATACTTTCTCAACAAAGTATACATTTATCAACATGCCAAGTGATGGGATCTGCACACCTTCCATGCATCCCATTGGTAAATGTCATACCTGCCATGCTATTTAATTATTTTAGCCTGCCTACAGTTACGCTATATGGCCAAAAGCACTGGGCTGCCTACAAATTACACCTACAGGAGCTATTGAGGCATGGAAACCCATATAATTTCTGTGCTGATGTTAATGCCAGAGGAGGTTTGGAGTGCTGGAGTTACTGAGTCAGAGCGCTGGTGACTTTTACACGCTCTACGCCTCAGCACTTTACGTGGTTTGCCCCTCTGCTGTGGTTTCTAAATGCTTTCGCTCTTCAATAATACCACTTACAGCTGATTATGGAATATCTGGGAGGGAAGAAATTTCACAAACTGGCTTGTGGTGAGGGTGGCATCCTATTACAATATCACACTCGCATCAAGTGAGCTCTTAAGAAACAACCCGTTTGTTCACAGATGTTTGTAAAAGCAGACTGAGTAGCTAGGTGCTTGATTTTATACAGTTGTGGCAAGATTAGGGGCTGTCCATGTAGTGTACTTTAGAACCTGCAAGCCACCTTGCAAGCCACTTCCACCCCAGCTACGCACATGAAAGCATGGCGAGGTCCCAGAACAGAGATGGATCTCCAAATTTAAATGACCCCAGCTTGAAAAGAAGTTTCTTTTGGCCATAGGGGTCCTTGCTCAATCAAAAGTGCATGCAGCCTATTTTGATTCCACGGCTGCTCCACAGTATTCAGCAGCTCCATAAACAGTCGGTTTATGGAGCTTTAAGATTAAAAACAGCTTCCTGCTGCGACCAAAAACAAGAGTGATAACAGCAAACTTAAACAGGATGGAAAATCAAGATAGTGGGCTGGAAGTTGATAAAACACTCAGTGGGAGAACTCTTTGAACTGCTTTCATCTGCTCCATTAAATAATCTATTAACTGGAGCTACTTTAACTTTTACTGTATCGATCGCGTGTCGTGCTCCGCTTTAATGAATAAACTCTACTGACTCGACGTTCTCAGCTGTGTGTGCTGTCTATATTTGGACTAGTGTGCTAACTGTGTATTTCTTTTTGACAAAATTTGTCAAACTAATGTACTTGTGTGCCGGCCGGGTGGTGTTGCTGATCTACTGTTACTGGGTCTGTGCTTCCCCCAGTGTCTGTGTGGGTCGAAGGAGTTCATCCAGCTCATCCAGTAATCACAAGTGCAAAGACAGACGGACACACAAACACGAATGAGCAAACGCTTTCTCCCCTCCTGTTTCTGTTTTATCTGAGATCCATTAAGCTATTCATCTAGAGCACAAGCACTCTTGCCAATATGTTAATAGCACAAATACACACAGGCTCAAGCACATATTTCTAATTCTAATGACAAATACTGTTGATATCATCCCACAGCTGTGTTTCTCTCTTCTCTTTCCCTCCTCAATTCCCTCAGCTCCATGCAAGCAATATTCACCCTTCCTATTCGTTCAAATTCCTCAAATATCCGCTGAGCCTTTTCTCTTTCTTTGCCTCCAGCATTGGAAAACAAAGACAAGCTCCACTGCTGCGAACCTTTGCACACTTAACCAAAGAGTAAACAAACACACGGAGCTGCACACTTCTGTGTGAAGAAACAAAGACACGCACGCACACGCACGCAAGCCACGTTGTCTCCGTTTGCTCCCAGCGGTCATGTGACAAAACACTCGCATCCCATCACCTCTCACCTCCCTCTCCCCGTCCTTCTTTCTCCTTCTTTATCTCACCCAGTAGGAATCCGTGTGCTTAGTCAGAGTTGGGAGGAGAAACTTGGCAGGAGAGGAGGGGAGAAAGGGAGATGTTGGACAAATGAGAAGAAAAACAGAGGAGGGAAAGTGTTCGGTGCAAAGAATCAAAGCAGATTGGGTTCCAGTCATTCTCTGTTTCTATTGACTCTCACCACCCTCGAAGCTGCATGCAGATGTTGGCCTGCTCAAACGACAGAGAGCAGGGATTGCGGTGGGCTGGGCAAGCAGCGCAGGTCAGCCGGGACACACTCATACCAGAGACATATTTAACTCACTCAAACACACATCCCCCCCAACCCCGCCTCCCCCATCATACCATTTAATTCCCCCAATAAGCCTTTTATAACATTGATGCACTGTGCAGCTCACCACTAAACTACCATGTGTGTTGACTCAGTTCTCACCCTCAGTGAAAGGTTCCCAGTTGTACAATCGACCTATGAACTCATTGGTGTTAAAGGCCGCACACTGCTCCGCCCTGGAGTCCAGCGCACCTCCTCGGCACACCTGCAGGACAGAAACACCAAAGCAGACGGAGAGAGAGAGAGGTAAAACAATTAATGCCGCAAACTGAACTGATGTGAAAGACAACAGATTACACAGAGGGCTGTTTCTCTCCTAGTCCCTGGGGGAAGTAAGGGTGGAGTGAGGAAAAGTTGAGGACAAGCAGCTAATAAAGAAGGGAAGAATTAACTTGACATCACAGAGGTAAGCACAAACACGCTATGCTGTTATGGAGAAAAACTCACACAAGCACTCCCCATGCTGCTTTGGCCAGTGTGCGAGAGTATAAGAACCATATGGAAATAATAGATTTTTTGGAAACGGCTGCTCACATAAATCCACCGTGGCTTTCGGTGCATGGCCACAGAATGTGAGTGACTGTGTGAGCACATGTACGAGTGTGTGTCTATGCGTGTGTGTGTAAGAACACATGTCAAGCTTGTGCTCGCTTAAGAAGGGTCCTTGTGGAGCCGTATAGTGGAAACAGTTTTTATCATACATGCACTTAAACGACAGCTGAGACATCAGGCAGACACAACTCTGCTGGTTTACGCTGCAGCGGCTATGACTCGCTGAGGTTTTCTGTAGTCCACACACAAGTGTTTTTAAGAAGAAAAAACATTAAATGCTGCGCTAATCAGGAAAAATATTTGGAGTCAAAAAGTAAATTTAAATATTTGTATTAGACTGTAGTTTCTTCTTCACTGTACCACATTTATCATCTTTACTGCCTTACGAAAAGGGCCTCAGTCCATGGCTCACATTAGAAACCTGCCTGGTTAAAAATGGTTGTACAGTAAATGCTCAGCCTTAACTTGTCATAACTTTAAAATGCCACTAACTCATTGATTCAAGTTAATTAATAAGAAGTCAGTTAGCCCTACTTAGAATTAAGACTATAAATAGGAGGAAGTAGCCACAATAAGTGCAATTACTCATTTCCAGACATAAAGATTGACGTAGCTTCCAGGTTGTCTTATAGCTGCAGTCTTTTTAATGACCAGCAGGGGGCGACTCCACTGGCTGCAAAAAGATTTCCAGTTGTATGGAAGTCTAAGGGATCATATAACTCTTCATCTCACTTGCTCTTTGGCTTCAATAAATAGTTTCCAGATGATTTTGGGAATTAAGCCACTGGTTTAAAGTTGTGCTCGATATGACAAAAAGCTCATTTTTAAAATTATGATTCCCACTGTAGTCAAAAAGGAGGAGAGTTTGCTTTACTATCAATCCATCCGTTTTCTGCTGCTTATCCGGGTCTGGGTCTTGGAGGGAGCAACCTAGCAGGCAAAGGCATTCCCGAGCAGGCTGAGATAATCTCTCCAGTGTGCCCTGGGTCTACAATGGGGTTGCTTCCTGGTAGGACATACCTGAAACACCTCAATTAGGAAGTGTCCAGGAGGTATCCTAGTCAGATGACCAAACAACCTCAAATGGCTCCTTCAAATGGAGGAGTAGCCGCTCTCCTCTGAGCCTCTCCCCGAGCTCCTTACCTTATCTCTACAGGAGAGCCCACACAGCCTTCGGAAGAAGCTCATTTCCACCATTTGTATCCACAATCTCATTCTGTAGGTCATTACTCACGTCTTGTGGCCATAGGTGAGGGTTGGAATGTAGATACTTAGACCCCTGCACTTGGGGCAACTCACGGAGTTGCAACTGAAACCTTTTCCAGCTGAGAACCAGACTTGGAGAGGTGGTTCTCATTCCTGCCATTTCACACTTGGCTGAAAAACTGAGAGCGTAGACTCGCCACGTAATCCAGCCAAAAGAACCACATCATCCTCCAAAAGAGAGGTGATCCTAAGGCCACCAAACCAAAAAGCCCATGCCACTTGGCAGCTTGAATCTCTGTCCATAAATGTTATGAACAGAATCAGCCTTTAAAGTGTGTTTGATAAGTTACTTGCCAGCAAGATCCATAATTTTAAGATGCCATGTAATGATTTCCTTTGAACACAGTCCTGTGATATTTTGTTTTAAAAAAATAATCCTTATCACTCTGCATTTATCAATAGTCCTTCAGAAAAGTGCTGTAAAAATGAAAAAAAAAAACAAAAACTACACCCTTTGCCTTTAAACAAGTGCCACTTGTCTTTGGTACACTTGCACAGCTTTTGAAGGTATTTGGTGAGTGTGTTAAAGTTGGAGAGCTCACAATCCCAGACTGACCGCATCACGCTGAGACCAGGGCTCAGTGAGGGCCAGACCATCTGCTACAGAACTAATTTTTCTTGTTTTTGCTGAAGATAGCTCTGTGTTTGGCATCACTGTCCTGTTGGAGAATAAATCAATGACCACAGATACCATCAACATCTAAAAGACGTGCAGGGCAGTGCATTTAGTCAGTAATATCTCTCTGCTTTTACTCGTACTCGTACACTGTTTTCATTTTTAGTTAAATAACAGGTTTTAAAACTCCCACCAGCTTCATCAGGTGTCACTTCTGTGGTAAACCACAATCACCCTGCCCGAGGAGTGTGCACACACACACGCACATACACACGCACACACACACACACACACACACACACACACACAGACACACACACACACACACACACACACACACACACACGAAGCTCTCATATTTCCTTGGAACTCTAATCTCTGTCAGCTCTGCAATCTTCTTGTCTTTCATTTCTTACTTTCTTTGATTCGTTCCTCTTTTTCTTTCTTGTATTTTTTTTTCTGAACCTCTCGTCACGCACACAGCTGTCACAAACAGCTGGAAAGTTCCTAGCAGCTCGTCTGGGGAGAGCGAATACTGAGGTTCAGACTCACTCACAGAGCAACATTTCCCACGTGAACCATCCTCTGCGACAAAGTGTAAAAGATTCTCATGGATAAACCATCAAAGCATGATGCTCTGATGCTGAACCCCCCCGCATTTTCATACTGGTGTGTGTGAGTGTGTGTATCTGCGATGTCTCATATTTCCCCTCTGTCAAAGTGTGAAACCAGCTCATGAAACTTTATGTGGTACGGCTTACCGCATGTCCTCGCTGCTCAAGAAACAGACTTAACCTGGCATAATTTATGGGTGATATGATACACATTTGGTTAAGGCCGCTTATAAAGGAATGTGTCGAGCCACATCCACTGAATTTGAATGAATATGGGCTCCTTAAAGGTCAGCGCACGTATGCGACCTTATGTTTTCAGGGGACCGTGCAAATCTGCCCAGATTTGTGTGTGAAACACGGTTGGTTCTGGTTGTAAATATTTCTGCTGCACATAAACAAGCAGAGCCCTGTTTTAAACTGGATATGCTCCATGTCGCAGGGCATATGTGTTCGCCTGCAAACATTAAACGGACAACAGCCCCATAAACAAACACACATGTGCACAGGGTGTAGTGTGCAGACGTGGGATGCTACAGTACAGAAAAAAAGGGAAAAGGAATGTAAAAAGAAAGAATGTAAGACGGTAGGAGTGGATTCTGCTCTAAAAAAAAGAAGTCTAGGGTGTGTAAGGATGTCAGGAAAGACAATGGACCGAATGGAGAGGGGAGGAAAGCGGAGACGGTTTGAGGGGAAAAGCAGAAGAGAGAAGGCGACGTGCTCTCTGGTGTTTCATGGTTCTGGCGGATAATTTGTGTGTAATTGTAAGGAGTGGTATACTGTGAGCACAGGGCGAGGGGCGAATCTCCTCATAAGGGATGGAGGGGGGAAAAGGAGGTTATTAAATGGGCCAACAAGGCAAAAACACTTTCAAGATAAGGAATGATAGATGGAGAGATTCCCACACAGATCAGGTTAACCGGTGGGTTTGTGTAACACCTTGATTATCATCTGATTGCTTCTGTTTCTTTGTGTGTTTAATTTCCTTTGGAGATTACGGATCTCAGCAATTAACTTAAGAAATGCTGTGTTACAGAAATGAAGGCCAAAACCACTAATATGAGACTCAAATTCTACCAGAGTGGACTTTCCCACTCCCTGGCTGCCGAGTTTAATGAAATACTACCAAACATATCTGATAAAGTCAGAGCAGCTCAGAGAGCTGTAAACACAAAAGAAATGAGGCAAGAGATCAAAAAAAATGTCTGCGACTGAGCGACAGACTAGCGTATAGCAGCAGGTGAGAGTAAAGTGAATGCAGCTGGAGAAAGAGGGACAGTTAGTGTTTTTTGTACGGTAGCTGTGAAGGTTATAGATGTGTTTTACTGCCCAGGCTGGGGGGGAGATCTGTGCGCAGCATATATAAGAACATGTGGAGCAGACGGGGTGACGGCTTTGTTCTGCACACACTCACAAAAATGCCACACAAGCCAAAGCCTCGAATGTAAAACAAACACCCAGATTACACTAATGAGTTCTGCAGAGGAACAAAATATGCAACCTTTTGCTTTTAGCCAGCTCGCGATATTTTGTAAAAGAAATGCGATTATGAAAACCACAATTCATTTAGTTGAGAAAGTTAAGATTACTTATACGCATTCTTAGGCCCCTTAGAGGAACGCAGCTTTAATTAACACGTCAACAACGAACCTGGAAGCTGAACACCGGCCAGAAGACATTAAATGCTGAAGGAGTCTCGGTCAATATTTTCTGAGCCACAGAAACAGATCACACATTCACAACAGCCGAAGCCTTAACACAACACAGCTGAAACACACACTTACCACGGCAACGTGACTTAATCAATGATTTCATCTTTGAATAGTTTGTTGCCTGTAAATGGATTGAATGAGCTGCAAAAACAAACTCTGTAGCTACATTCTCGGATTTCACTGAAACATCTCAAAAGGTTATATTTATTTATCTGCAACTACCCTTACACATGTTTTATTTGTAATCACGTATAATGTGTCGCTTCATTGTGTGGCTGTCGGTATCGGTTTGTGTGTGTGATTTCTGTACACCCGCCTCTCTTGAAAAAGAGATCTCAGTCTGTTCAAATAAAGGATTTAAATAATAATAATGCTCATTATCATCATCATAGTCATCATTAACAGTCCCTGGAGCATTTGTGCTCAACTTTCCATACTCGGCACGCAT